TTGTACGGTGTTCAGCAGCTTAGTCCCGTAGAGTATACTTTTATACAGCCGCCCAAAATGCCCAGGAAATCAGAGGACTCGATCGGACCTCAATTCACCCCTCTCCCCTATCATTTAACATTTCCACGTGTTTTGTGTTCTACAGCGTTCTTGAAGAAGATGATGGTGCTATTGTAAGCAAACAGGATGTCAATGTCACAAAGATCGTCCTTCGTAAGTAGCATCCTGTAGTGTACACTTCCTATGTATGCTTCTCTCTTTCTCTCTCTCTCTTTCTCTTTTTTTTTTGTCTTTTCTCTCCTTATTCTTTCATTCTTTCTTCTCTTCTTTGACTATGTTTTTGCCTTTATATATGTTTATACACAAATATTAACACACATATTCTCTTCGTTTTCTGTTTCACCATGCATATATCACAGTTTATAGGACGCAACGAATCTACGTAGCAGGGATGCTGAAATCGATAACCTGCTTCTCGTACAGCGACACGTATACAAAAGCTTAAGATATATTCATGCACGAGATCCGTGACTCGAGAGTGTCGTTGACGAAGGTTTCAGAAAACGATCGTCGACTTTAATCGTTTTTCTGAAGTTGTTCGTCGACTATGAGAATAAAAAATTGCTGTCGTGTCATTTCTTTCTTTTTTTTTTTTTATCGTTTTGATAAATTAATCTTTTTTGATCGATTTTAGAAGCATTGAAAAGATTGAAATCTTAAAATTCTTTGAAATTTTTTGCAATTTTTGAATTTTGAAATTATCTTTTTATTTAATCGATGATTTTTGATGATCATTATATAACTTTGAATGATCATTATAACTGGTAAGATTTTATCTATTATCATATTATAGTTTAAATAAAATATAAAAATTTAATTTTTTGCAAGTCGATTGTCATTAAAAATTGACGATTTAAATCTCAGTTTGAAAAAATTCAGAAATCAAAATTTGTTTAGATGTTACAAAAAAATAAAAAAAGTTTCGATTCATTCGAATTAGGAATCCAAAATTTCATACAAAATCGATAGTTTCAATTTTTTTTCTCAATGTTTAAAAACTTTTATTATATTACTACCTATATATAAATTACTTAAATACATAATATCTCAAATTTTTATTATAAATATAAAAATTGAAATTGAATAAAATACAGAAACTAATAATTGCAATAAATAAAAGTAATAATTGCAATAAGAATAATTGCAATAGAACTATAATTGCAATAAATAGAACTAATAAAAAATAAATAATTGCAATAAATAGAATTAATAAGAAATAAATAATTGCAATAAATAGATTTCATAATTTAGTATATGATAATAAAATATAGATATAATTAATTTCGAATTTATTATATATATTGTCACAGAATTATATTTAATATTTAAATAATTTTTTACATATTCATGTCACGGATTTCAAAAAAAAACGCAATTTAAATCATGCGTTTCTTTATAATAATATTATTACAATATATATGTATATATTAATTATCTATATTATTTCTAAAAATAAAAGTATTTATTTCCAATTTGAATTAGATGCTTTTCATTAATATTAATGAACGATGAAGTTCCCAAAGGTATATTATTTTCGCAATATATCCGAACTTTACGAATCTACAGAACTTATATCAAGCTTAATATTTTCTGGAAAATGAAACTATAAAATGCAATATAAATGTATATAGTTTAATATGACATCACGATTTGCACAACAACCCTTATGTCAATAGCCAAAAATAATAGATATTAAATTTTCTGAATTTAATAATTTTCTAATAATACAGAATATACATTCTTGACAGGAATTTTTAACAAAATTCAAAATACAATCCTTATCTTACTTCTATATACACAAATATTTTTTTTCATATACGATTTAAAAATGTTTCAAGAGGATAGGAAAATAACGGATTTTTAATTTTAATTAAAAGAGCTAATCGAAAATTGACACGAGGGTTAAACTATCGCTTGTATTATATTCAGCTTATATTCGTGTATTATAGCACCAAGTTCGATTGGCACAACAGTGGACCATAATATATATAGCTCTTCTCGTAGCAACGTGTTAATATAGTTCTTTTTTCGTTTCTAGCATTCCTTCGTAGATTATGCGATAGAGAAGAGGACTAGTGAAGCAACAACACTTCAATCATAACGTTGGTACTCGCCCATCGGCAGTCTCCATCTCAAGAAGGGACATGTTCACCCATCATACTCATCATAATTGTTTATCCCCTGTTAAAAATGTCTCGTGGCGCGTCTAAGCGCCACTTCTCACATATTTCGCGCAAAACGAAATCAAATAATTAATTTAAAAAACGTTTTGTCGCAATGTTTTGTAAAATTCTAATTTCTTCAACAGAAAAATAAATATAATTAGGAATATGATGCGAAACATTAATCAAAAGACGTATAAAGTTAATTAATTGTTTTATTCAATTAAATAAATATATATATATAATATATATAATATTGTTGTAATATATATGTATTTATAATAAAATACGATATATGATATTTTAATACATGTATGGCAAATCTAGGATACCGAGTATGAAGAAATATTATATTGATATTATTTTATTTCTTGTCGGTTGATTTAATAAATCGTGTCCTTCGTACAATCTTCAGAGAGGAATTTAAAATATTACTACTTGCCGATCTGTAACACATCTACGTCATATGTTTCGACCTGCTTCAAATGTTGGGATGATGTTATAACTAAATAATGTAAATAAAATCATAGAAACATGTTTTGTACAAATCCAGAGCGTCTCTCAGTCTTTACACAAATAATATGATAATCTTTAGATTATCAAATTGATTAACAGATTAGGTGAATCTTATTATCAGGTAGCATTGGTGTAATTTCATTCATTCTATTCTTTGAATATTTTAGGAAATATAAAATTTCATATATTACTTTATTATTTATTTTTCATTATCTCTTTTAATTTTCTATTAATTATTTTAAAATATTTATAATAATTTATCAGTTGTTTTGTTTAAATATTTCCAATTGGGTTTTTATTAGCTTTATATCAATAAATGCAGTTTGTAGAAATTATTTAAAAATATTTATAATAGAATTAGAAATTATTATATACATGAATATTGATAAATGTAAAAAGAAATATGATTTTGATAAAAATTTGAATATTATGAATATTTGATAACAAAATATTTGTCAAGTGAGATGAAAGAAAATTAGGTTATTGCACAATTGAAAATCTTCAGAAAAAGAGAGAAACCTGCATAATTGCAGATCATTAAAAAATGTATAAGAATCAAATATAACCTAGATATTTTATTTCATTTGAATGAAAAATAGTTGATTTGGAAAAATCAATCATTGAATACAAATTTTTTTCTTAAATCAAAGTTATTTTTAAATTTCATTAGTACTAGTTCATTTCTGAATTTTTTAAATTTTAAAATTATAGCAAAATATCAATGAAATTGTAATTTTTTGAAGTTATAAAAGATAGATATATTATTAAGATTTTAATAAGAAATTTCATTAAGTTCTACATTTTTTACTCAACAAATAAAATGCATGCTCATATTATTACTTTTTATTAGTAAAAAAATATAATTTTAATTTATTTATTTATTATGTAATATAAATATATGATTCAAATTTATTCAAATTATATAAATTTCAAATATTTATTCTTATACAATATATATTGTATTTAATAAATCTTAAAAATTGAATAAAAATTAATAAAATTGTTAGAGAAAAATATTTATTTCCCATAAAATCAGAAAAATGAAATCATCAAATTAAAAATATAGAATCAAAAATATATAATTTCTGAATTGAATAAATAAAAATTGATTTTTTCAGTGATTCAAAATTTTTACAAATAAATTTTTCCAATAATATCTACAGATATTAGATCTAAAGATTAATATTTCAAATATGTATTAAAATTAGTGTTAAAATTCATAAACGATTTTTAGAAAGTTTATTCTAAACACAAAAAAAAAATATATGCGAAAAAATTTTATCAAGTTTTTTCATTCTATTTCCTTTTTAGTTTCATGAAATATAAAATAATTTGACGAATAAATTTCAATTGATATTTTTCTGTACTTAATATTTATATTTGTTTCAGTGGCTAAAATCGTCTAAGAACAATTAACATTATATATTTTAATATAAATAATATTTGAAAATAAATATTTCAACGAAATATAAAAAATAATATTTCATGGTGTAATAATACTTTAAATAAGTAATTTTTAATTTCAATATATTTTTAATTATTATACATACAGTACATATAAAAACTCAATTTATGTTCTATGTTTAAGAGATAAAAAAAAGTGCTTCGATGTTCACGTTTTATTAAACGAAAAAATAAATATTTCGCTTATGTCGAATTCAATCATGAATAAATATTTATCCGTAATTTAAACATTAAATGAAATTTTTAAAAAAAACGTTATTTACTTATAAAAATATTTCAATATTCGTTCCATTTCAAAATTTCCCCAATTCTGGTATCGCTCTATTCAGCAGAAGGGTGAATGCGCGATACATAAACCGCAATCAACGTCTGGCCGTTGTTCGCGACACGACATGAAGCACCTGAGAATCGTGAAGAGGTTCGTAAACGGTCGGCAATTTCCGGCAGCGAGGCGTGGGGCCTTCGGGTGATCCCGGAAAGCTGGCGGTCGAGCCAGTCAGTTCAAACGCGTCGCAAGTGTCGCGCGTTTCGTCTTCCACTTTGTGAATTGGCAGTGAATCGCGCACCATCTCCTCTCGTTATATTTCCGACCGATTCCCGCCGCGACGCGCGTACAACGGCGTGACGAGTAGTGCGTGGAAATCGACCACCGCGATAAACAAGTATCCTCGCCCTAACAAGAACGAATCGTGAGAGTCGTCAACCGGGAAGATGACGGATGTACAAGTGAATTCGAACAAGGACGACACCGGCAGCAAATTGCAGCAGGATGACGACGTCATGCAGCGAACAGGTTGGTGTTATATTCATTATTGCGCGCGATTCTCTACGTAATTCTATTTTCGAGAGCAAGCTCCGACACTGGAGCACAACGAAGCTCATTGGTGGAACACGAGTTTCGCCATCTTGGTGGAATATGTCGGAAAATTATTTCCGTAATCTGTTTAAGCCGTTTCGATCTATTTTTCTTGTATCTTTTTTACCGAATAGTTTATGTAACGAGAAAATTTAAGAAAATTATTTCTGCACGTGGAGAATTCGTTTGTTTATTTATGTTGGAAAGTATGTTTATTTCCTTGTTAAAGGTGGATGTATAGATTGTTTTGAGAGGTTTGAATAGTAAAGAGGAACTGCATGTTGATATGACAGTTTGTCATAAAGAATACAGATATTATTATGATATGTATGGATTAATAATTTATCGAATTGTTTGAGTGAGAATTTCTCGATTAATTGTTTAACGTTAATATACTAAAATGTTTTTTTTAATAAAAATAAAGATTCGAAATTAGATAAATATACAAAGATAGTATAACGTTACGCTTGTCTAAAAGATAGTAAATACTTGTCGATAAAATTAATATTAAAACAAAATGCATTATTGTGTATAATATATATGTGACTATACATTTATTTTTTTATTTATATTGTATTTTAAATATTATATATACTACGTTTTTGGAAGAGTATATTCATTAAGAAAAAGCAATTTTTTAAGTGAAAAATAGGTATGCTTTTTAATGTAATTTTTATATTATTACATTTACAAATTTTATACTATTACATTATATAAAATTATTAGATTGTAATTATTAATTTAATATTTATTTATATATTATACATAAACACGTATTATATTATTTTATCAAAAAAAATTAGATTATTTCATATAGAAAGCTCATATAAAAATATTATAATATTTATGGTATATTAAAATTTTAAAATTATATTTATTAAAGAAAAATGAAATATTATATCGCAAAAATAAAAGAGAGTATTATATTTAAAAAACTTTAAATAATGCTTTTCATATGAAATAATCTAATTTTTTTGATAAAATAATATAAAACACATATTATATATAATATATAAATATTTACAATTAATAATTTATAAATATTTAAAATCATTAATTTAAATCTAACGATTTTTTAGTTAAATCATATAATCACATAATTGACATCACAATAAGTATATAACAATATTAAAAGTAAAAAATAGTAAACTAAAATTATTTTTCATTTCATTTTCTTTCATAAATCGCAAAATTAGAAACGATCTCAAACTTTCAAGTAATGATATTGATAAATTGAAGAATATCATTTTTTTTTCTTCGTGCATTTGTTATTGAAAAAAAAGGGAACAACCGTTATTTTCATCAACTACATCAAACGTTGTTTCTATCAACTTGTTCACATCTTTAATAATAATTGCGGAATTAAAACACACTCGACATGCACATGTTCACGTTGAAGACTGTACAATGGCCTCGGTGTCTGGGGGCATTAGACTTAAAGCGATGAGAAAACCGGCATATAATATTGAATCGTAAGACTGGGAAGTCTTTTAGATGCTGATTAACTTAATGCAGCATGTTGTCAGGCGCCCATACATAATTAATCCTACATCTTGTACTCCATTTACGTGGATCAAGATAATCGTGGTATACCATTGTTGCTTGTTGTTTACTGTGCGAAATCATTGTACTCTAAGAGGAAACGGATAACAAGGAGGTGATATTTTTCATCATATCCATTCAGAAACGCATGTAAAAGTCTCGAAGAGATACATGTTACATGAAAATTATATTCTTGATTAATGGACAATCGATGATTCTTTTAAAAAAAATTATAAAGAAAAAGTGAATTAATTAAATTGTTTAAGTACTTATTTGTATAAATCGTTGCTTTATTTGTAAGTACTAAAAAACGGTAATTAATCAAAGATTATAAGATAAAGATTGCATTGTGATATAAAAAATAAAAAAGTTTACATGTAATGAAAAATTCGAAATAGGTAAGTAAAATAAAAATTGCTATCAGAAATTCATAGTAAGTAAGGAGTTAGATTAATATCGATAAAGATTATCTTGTTTCGATTAACATTTTTTTTTCATTTTTTTTAACTACTTGTCTAAGAAGATTGTTAACAATCAACTTTTTTTTAAATCTCAATGAAAAACGAAAAATTAAAAAATACTTTTAAATTATTCAAAAATTTTCAAGTCAAATGTTATGAAATATTTTATGAAATAAAAACATAAATTGTGATTTTTATTTAATAATATCTATCATTGAAAAATTTAACAATACAATAATTTCTTTAAAATTATAATACATAATTAAAAAAATGAAATTCTTTTAAATTATAAGTAATGAATACTATGTATATTTTTTTTATGAAATATATATTTTCAGAACGTTCAAATACAATCCATTTAATAAATATTCTGTGTTATAAAAATATTCTAACCATAACTTCTATTTATATATTCTATTATATTTAATAATAATTATAAAATATAGATATTCTTTTATTTATAACATTAACATATAAATATCCATGAAAATACATTGTACATTGAAGACAATGTTGTCCTTCAACTTGGAAACAAATTTACGCAATAATTATCCAACCACACTTTGATTGATGAGTTCAATACCTATTTCAGATCACGAATTAAAAGTTTGCCGTTTCGACGTTCTTTTAACATGTTACAAAATGAATGTACATCACGCGAATGTCATTCTGTCATATAGTTAATACTATTCGTGACCGATACAAACTATCTATTTAATTGAACGTTACCATCGTAACGATTACCACACCGTTCCACCGTTACCATAATCTATGATTGAAGAAACGTGACGAGGAAAGGGCCATATCGTGTGTCAATTAGGAAATTGGCAACCGTCAATGAAATAACGATGTTATATGGGTGTTACAATTGCCAGAATTGACCTGGCTCACCTTCGATCATCAACTCGAAACCTTAATCGATCTCCCTCGTTTGGCCCACGAATGAAGGCGACACTTTGGCCATCCGCAATTTGTTCCTCACTTCCGGAGAATTTCGAGCGCGAAGAGGGTCCTCACGTTGTCGCAACCATCGTTTCGAATGACTGCATGCAGGATTGATACGCGGATTGGCCCCCCTTATGCCATATCTACGAACGAATTTGATTACTTGTGATGTAGTTTGTATTAATAACGAAACGAAATTTTTTTTCAATTTATTATTACTTGTATTAATACTCGAATTTTTATATTGTTTTAATTGAGATTGGAAATTGGATTGTTTTTTTTTCAAAATATCTTCAGATTCAATTGAATCGTTGATCGATTTGTATTCACAGAATTTTACTTGGAGAATTTTATTTGGATATTTGGATATTCTTTTATTTAACATAAAATTAAAATTTTGTTATCTTTAAAAGATTTTCAAATTTAATTTAATCATCGTTTTATTATTGACATATTTACTATTGGTTTCTATTCTAAATTTAAAATTTTATATATATGTAAAATGTTGAAAATTTTGACTTTGACAGAAAGCTATTTGATATAATAGAAAAATAAAGAGAATAGATAAGAAGATCTTAGGAAAAATTATAATTATAATTCTACAATCTCTTGTAAAAGCTTGGAAGATATTCTAATAATTTAGAAAAAATTAAACTAAAATATAATAAAATAATTTGTAAAATCAATATTTTTTTATTAGTTAGTCTTATTTCAAAGTTTAATTTCACTGTCAAACATAAAGTTAAGCATAAAAATACGACATTAATTTCATATACTTATTCAAAACAAAAATTTGAATATTCACGCTTCTGCTACTAGAGAAGAACAACATTATATTTACATATAGTATTTCTAAAAAATTGAAAAAGTATAAATATTATTATAAATTATCTGAATATCTATTTTAAATAATTATACATGAACTTTTCAATTTTGACTATTTGATTACTCCTTTTTTTTTAAAGCTTTTAAGTTTCAACATAAGAAGAAACCAATCAGGAGAATTTAAAAGAACTTTTCATTCATTTTTATGAAAAAATTTTTATCTTTATGTTTTTTTTAAATTGATTTATAATTTAATATACTTAAAATTCATAATTTAAAAAAAAAGATTAGGTTATATTTATAGATAAAATTGGGGAAATCATTAAACTGAATAATTATTTTATTTCAAGAAAATAATACAAAACAAAAATTTATAGACAAAGAAGAAACTAGATTAAATTAAATTAAGTTTGAAGATAAGATTGTGGAAAATAATTAATTGCATAATTATATTTTAATATTTTAATAATATAAAAGCAAAAATTCATATTAAATTTATGAAAAGGTTAGATTAGCATTCTTAATAAAAATCAAAATTTGGACGAAACTTGTAAAAAAATATTCATAGTATTTGATATTCTTTAAAATTCACGTGTCTACGAATTATGCGAGAAAAAGAAAAAAACGTTATTTCTTTCAGAAAGAATAAAAAAAAAAGTCTTTTGCATGCGATTCTTTTCAAATGTTACAAATGCGTATATTTTCTCAAACAGAATCTCCACAAACGATCGGACTAAAATGAACGATTTGTTAAATTTTATGCGCATGACTAATACGCGAGTACCTATCGTTACGCGAATACTTATCGTTACACGAGTAGGGGGCCAAGGTCCTCCTCGTTACCCATGTCCCGCTTTACGCCCTGACGTGCATCGTGATTATTACAACGATTTGCATCGTTACTCTCCTACAGCCTGAATGTTTATGCAACAATATTGTCCACATCGATGCTGGTTTACTTTTTCTCAATTAATCCCCTTCGAAAAGTGTTAATTACCTGTAAAATAAATTGCGAATGTTCATGCATTTATAGAGGAAATTTGAATATATAAAAATATACGTGTATATGCAGAAAAAATATATAGAAGAAAATATATAATAATATCAATTCTAGAATATCAAATATCTAGAATAATAGAATAATAGATAATAATTTATAATAAT